ACATATTTATATATATACACATATTATATAGATATATTTATATATGTTTACATGTCTTTACATCTGTGGGGACAGCATTTGTACTGTTGTAAGGTTAGCTCCTTATCCCTGGCCTCTTTGAGCATCCCAGTGACGGTGCATGCCTATATATGTGTCTTGAATCCTCCGTGGATGTGAACATTTGTCTGTGCTCCTGGGTGTGTAAGGAGTCTGTATTCTTATCTATTTGTATACATTTATGTCTATTAGTGTGTGTCTCTGTATTCATAGGTCTCAGTGTATGTTTATCTGTTTGTGTCTCTCCAGCTAGCTGTGTGTGCATCTTTGTCTCCCCAGGTGTCTATCTCTGTGTCCTAGTGTCTCTGCATAGGCCAGTTTGCTCCTAAGTATCTCTGTGTGGTCCATCCGGTATGGGCAAGTGGAAAGAAATGGTCAAAATAATTCCAGAATGCTGTTCTTAATACCATATCCCAGAATGACCCAGCTGTTGAGAATGTGGAAGAAAGTAGGGACCCCAGAAGCCGGGTAATGGATCCTTACTCTTCTTTCACCTTGGTTACAAAGTCAGTGAGGTTTGGAAGAGGTTGGGTCTATGCTGAAAGTGGATCCATAGTGCCTGTAGGTCCAGATGCAAACTTCAGGAGGAGCTGGTGGGAGCAAGTTCCTGTTGCAGTCTCTTAGCCTACATGCTTCTTTCTCATCTTCATAGTTGGGTATCTGTCTCTCTATGCATGTCAAGGGCCAAGTCCAAGAATGGGGGCCGGTGCCTGCGTGAACGGCTGGAGAAGATTGGGCTCAACCTGCCAGCAGGACGGCGCAAGGCTGCCAATGTGACGCTGCTGACTTCACTGGTGGAGGGTGAGTGAGGCTTGAGAGTGGGTGTGAGTGTGAGGGGACATGTATCATCCTGTGTGACTGTCTCTAATACATGAGTGCGTTTAATCGCATGAATGTTCTTCTGAGTGTTGCAGTATCTGTGCATGTAGTGGATGTACCCTGTATGAATGTGTGTGCATGATGTATGTAACCTATGTGTGTGTATGTGTATAGGGGAGGAAAGTCTGGTGCTTGGATGTGATAAAGGGCTGAGGAGGATGAGGGTCCCTTTCCCTGGTGGTTGGTAACTCTGGGCTTAGTGATCTCGAGTTCTGGCTTTGGAATATATGATAAGTTCAGTTACCACTCCTGTGCTCAGAGCCCCTCCCTGATGACCATAAGTGAGGTTGTAGAACTGGAGCTGGAGCTAGGCTGGGGATGGAAATCAGAGGAAGGCATCTATAGAAGCAGAATGAGGCAGGGTGCCCCCCTGGCTAGGGAGTTGGAGGTTCAAAGTTGTGCTCCAGGCTGTACACCTGGCAGTGGTGACAGCTAATCTCTCTTGCCCCTTTTATCCCCAGGAGAGGCTGTGCACCTGGCCCGAGACTTCGGATATGTCTGTGAGACCGAGTTCCCTGCCAAGGCAGCTGCCGAATACCTCTGCCGACAACACGCTGACCCTGGGGAACTGCACAGCCGAAAAAGCATGCTGCTGGCAGCCAAGTGAGTGAGGGTTCCATGCAGGGCATTTCTGGGTCCCATACATGGTACATAGGCATATGTAGATGCAATGCACAGTCTCTCTCTTTC